TGGGGGGGTGGAATTATTGCTTTGAATACCCTTTTATAGCACAAATATTTTAATTTGCTGCCTCCTGGTGGCTTTTGTAATGCTGTTTTCTATCCAGGAGTGCACAAGAAGATGCTGTTGGTTCTGAGCAGAAAGGAACCCAGTGCTTTCATGCATTATCTTTTTAATGTGAATAAGGAACACAGACTATTTCAGAGCCTGAAAATGGCCATTTCCTGGGTCTTGAATAGGCCCTATACACATACCTGGAGGAGTCAGATTGGTTCTGTTTTCTAGAAATGGGTTCACAGGACACAGTTAAGAAAAACATCTCCTAGAGTTGTATGTTAAATCCAGAGCTCATTGTGTCAAAGATTAACTTTGCTGTTTCTTCAGTGAGCTATTAAACCTTGGTCAGTTATCATTTATCATCTCCTTGGGCTGTGTGCTCACAGAAAACAGAATTCCTTGGTTTTCCTCAGGGCTTTTCTCTCTTCTTAAATCTGTACAGTCATACCTTATACATAAACCATCTTAAGAAAATGCCACTAGTCAAAAAATTAACTGTATTAGTCAAAGAATTGATCCAAATTGCTTCAGGAGCTTCAGCTTCTCTCTGCCTAACAGATGATTGGTAAAATACAGACAGATGTGGGTGAATGGGAGTTCACTGCTGCAGGGTCCAACTGCTAAAGGTCTGGTTCCTGCAGGGAAAGCTGTGAAGTTGTTACACCTGTACAAGACTATAAGGAGGTTTTAAAACCTCACTAAAGGGTAGAATTACCAACTCTGCAGTCTATGTGGTCCTCACATGGAATAACACCTATGTAGAGCAGACTAGAAGCCTTTCTTCAGTCCCCCTCTCTCTCTTGCACAGATAACTGACTGAGCAGGACAGGTTGCAGGATCTGCTTCCAAGACACTGTGCAAGAGAAAGCAGCAGTCCTGCATGCTCAGGCTGCCTGTTTCCAGCATGTTCTTGCCCAGAGTCTGAATCCAAGCCAAAGGCACTGCAGACAGTAAGTTTGGGGAAGAGGAGAGCATTAATCACAGTGTGAGGGGAGGAGAATCGCTGCACAAAAGATAAGCTGATAGAATAGAGGGTTCCAAGGCAAACAGACAGGAGCAGTATTTCTGTATTACAGAAATGTCACATTCTCTCTCTGAAGATGTTGCCAGAACTCAGCTGTGGGGCTGGACCACCTTAGGAACTCACTAGAAATTTGTCCCACTGAACCATTTCCATCACAATGACCTCTAAGTAGTTAGTTACATAGTTGAATGTGGCAACTGGTTGGGACAACGTTGCTCCCTAAAAATAGTAAAGGCTGAGCCTGTGTGGCCACAAAATAGTTCTGAAAAGCTGCATTCAAGTGCAGTGTAAGTTTATTAGGAATCTGACACACCTCACAAGGGCCGTGGTCTTATAATTACTCAGTTTTGCTGTTCCCTGAGGTCAGCCCATAATGGAAAGATGCTGTCTCATGTCAGGGCAGGACTGACAGCAACGTGTATCACCGAGTTCCTGCTCACTGTCACGTAATTCCTGATGTCCAGTGCACTGAGAGAGTTCATGGCAAAGAGAACATCCCTGGGCTGGGAAGGAAGAGACCACTCTGCTTTTCACCACTCCTTTTCCCACCCTGCTCAGGCATTCAGTCTAGCTCTCTCAGAAAACAGCTGCCTGGGGTGAGGTGGTGAGAGTCACAGGTCGTTAAGTTACACGTGAAGTCAAGGGACAACACTAGCAACAACCATCCTGACAGTAGAGGTAAGAGCCCATGTTGGTGAGCCAAACAGCAACCTTTATAAGCAAAGTTATTGCTGAACATTGGTACCTAAACAGAAGTCAAACCTTTAGGATGGAGAAGTACTCCCAAGCACACACCTCTGTCATCTTACAGCAAGACGTCAACTTAATTAAACACCTTATAAAACTTGTGCCATGCCCTGTGCTGTGGAGAGAGGGTAAGTACCAGAGCAAGAAGTAAGAGTTCAGCTTAATTTACTTGATTAAGTTCTCCACACAAAATGGGTACTTGATCATCTCCTCCCTAACTAAAAATGGTGGTTTCTGGGTGGTTTATTCTGAACAAAACTTTCTGGAGAGTCAAGAACAACAGAAGCTGAGCCATGCCAAAACTTGCCTGCCTTGGT